AGAAAGTGAAAACGCAGCTCATCGGTACTTTTTCGTTTCTTGACTTATCGCTAGTTCGTTGTTCTGAAATCAGACGTTGTTTTGCAGAAATGACGGACGATGAGAAATTATACTGTATCCAAAAAATGCGTGCAAAAAAGCGATGATCGTAGTTTGGCTGTATTTATCACTAACCAGTTGTAATATTGATAGAATTTTTGTAAATGAAGAGCATTTCTGTTATATGAGATGAATGCTTATTTATTTGATGTAGTGAAACGCTCATGATTAGTCATTTGTTAATGTTTCGTTAGTTTATGTGATTACTCATTGTCAGTTAGGAGATTACTCATAGTGATTACAGTCGGCACGTTTGGGCTGTGAAAAAAGAGCGTTTATGAAATTTTAATTGTGGTTTAACATGAGGTTTCTGCATGAATTTATGATAGTGATATGGTGCAATGGTTGTAATATAGTGATTGTAACGATAGGATATGTCATTATTATTATTATATAATTGATTATAATATAGTGATTGAAACGATTGTTATTATTATTATAGTTATTATTATTGTTGTTGTTACAATTGTCATTGTGCTTGTTATTATTATTATTATGACTATTATTATTGTTATTATTATTGAAGTATTGTTGTTATGAGATGATATTTCAGTTGAGGTTACGTGCGATGCTCTCAGTGGTAATTGGATTAGTAATTGCATTCGTTCCTTCAGTGGACTCGATTCTCTACGTTCAAGTGCGTATTGTTTTTTCAGTCTTTTTTATTTGTCTGACTTATTTCATATTGTATATTCGGTGAATTTTATACGAAGAGAATGTCTGGAAGAGGTTGAAGAGGAAATTTGTGAAGTTTGAGAAAAAATTTCGCTATTTTTATAGCAAAATGAATATCGTTTCTATGATCAATTGGATGGATTGTGGACATTTGTTCGTGAACCGTCGAATTCAATCGGAATTGGTTTGTTGAGGGAGTGGCACCTCTTCGATTTGTCGAAATTTAACGTTGGTGTTTACGCGTTTCGATTTGTTTTTTGTTGTTGATTGTATTTTTAGGGGTTAGCTGACATTTGAAAACTCGTTATTATTTGATTTAGTTATTATTTGAGACAATGTGTTTAAATTGGAAGTTGTGGAAAAATTTTTGGCTCAGAAAACTGGAGAAATTATTTTTTGAAATTGCGACGGAAATTCGTTCGCGAACTGGAAAATACTTTCGAATTTTTTTCGTAAAAATCTCACTGCTTAAAGTAGTAACTTGATTTGGTGAATTAAAATTTCTCATTATCTGTAGATTGCTTGCAGAATGCAACAGTGATGCCAGTGCCAGCAGCGTACAATGATTTGGGAGCCGATGCAGAGACTCGAGATCATGTCGGATGGGTTTGGTATCAAACAAAAATTTGGACGAGTGAGCGAGATTCTGCTTATCGACACTTTTTACGATTTTCGAGTGTACAATACTACGCGATCGTGGTGAGTTTTTGTGTTAATTTTGTGTTGCAGGTGCGATTTCGCTTGTTTTTATACGCAAGTCGATTGCACATCTACTCGTAATTAGCGAAGATTTTAAATTTTTGATTGATTTAGTCGAGATTGATCGGATTTTTTTAGAAATTTACTTGATCTAAATCTAAAGCTTTACATGAACTTGAGTTTCATGTGATTACTTCACTGAGACTATATCCCGCTGGCACTTTTTGAATTGCTACAACATTTTACATGAAACATTATTGAAAGTCGAATTTTTTGAAGGTGTTATTGTAAGAAAGCCAAGAAAAAATGAACCGAAATGGAGTGAATTTGAAATGGTAAACCGCGTTAATATTGTGATGCATGGGATAGATTAATTCGTGTTAATTGAATACCTCGACAATTGTTGTATTCTGAATGGTTTAGAATTGCAGTGTCGGAGAAATGGCAATTGGCAGAAATTTTAACCGCTCACTCAAAGTTTCAGTTCGTCAACAATAAACTGATCGGTTCACATGAAGGAGGACATTTACCGTTCGAGTTTGAAGTGACGAAAACACTGTTACTGGGTCGTGAGAATCGCATAACGGTTGCAGTCAATAACACGTTGTCGCATGAGACGATACCACCCGGGGAATTTGTTTATTTGCAACGACAACGACGTGGATTCAAGCAGTACCCTGACGGGTCAGTCTCATTCTTCAGCCATTAGTTTCTTTCGAATACAGCTAGCAATTATTATCGAGAGCGATATTAGTATACGAAATTGTCAATGTTCATGAAGTCTATTCATATTGAGCATTGATTTAGCGGTAGGAATGATATCGAACGGTCTTTCTATCGTCATCTTAAATATTTGTATTTGTATTTTTCAAAGGAATAGAAAAGACTGCTGTATAGCAATCCAGCTGAATGATAGTTGTTAAGAAAAAGTAATTTCCGAGGGAATTTCAGGTTTTTCAAGCAAATACCCGACTTTGATTTCTTCAACTATGCGGGTATTTTGCGTCCGGTTTATCTGACAAAGAAACCGGCCACTTTTATTCAAGACATTGTTATTGAAGCGTTTGCCGATGGTGAGTTTGTTTGGAAATTTGATTTTTTTTTGGCTGTTTTTTGCCTGATCTTTATAAGATTCTCTCACAATCAGGTTTAATGAAGTGACGTAGAAAAAATTTGATTTACTATTTCGACGGAAATTGCGGGTGATTCAATTATTTTTTATAATCGTTTCATCAACAGTTTTTGCGCAGGAACACTCTTGTATGACATCAAAACGAATTCACCGACAAAGCAATCGAACAGCATATCATCCAACAGTCAAGAGGTGGTAGTGGCTACGATGTATGATGAAAACGATCAAGTGATATTCATCACGAGAGGAGTGCATTTCCGAGGTCGAATCGAGGGCATTCGACTGTGGTGGCCACGAGGAATGGGCGATCCTATCCTCTATCTGCTTGAGGTTTTTCTAAGTGATTTATCATGCGGCTGACATTGGTCGGTTGAAATGGAACTATTGAAGTGAAGCGGTTTATGATTTCAGTTGAAATGATTAGATTTGATATTTGTTTGATCACAGGAAAGGATGGCAATGCGAGAGCAAATGATATTTTAGAATTGTTACTTTAGAATTACTAGCAGAAAATGTGGCCGTAGTAGAAAATAAAGAATAGAAGGTGCAAAGCCAAGAGATTGGTTTTTTAAATAATGATAAGACGGTTAGTCGTTTTGCAGGTGCGTATTCTAACCGATGGCACTGCAACGGATGCATATCGCATAAAATTCGGTTTTCGCACAGTCTCATTTACGAACGATCAGTTGTTCATCAACGGGAAACCGTTCTATTGCCGAGGATTTGGGATGCACGAGGATTTCGAGGTAACCTCTTGGATTTTGGACTTTGAAGTCGCTTTGTGCACGATGTCTTCGCCCGTTTTGGATTAGCAATTGAATTTAGTTTATTGATCAAAAATTGAATAACAACACTTAAATGGAATGTGAAATAAGGTAATGTAATGATTAATAGTTGATCGGTCGTGGATACAGCGCAGTGGTGATGACAAAAGATTTCAATATGCTGGAGTGGATGAATGCAAATTGCTATCGTACTTCACATTATCCGTACAGTGAGGAAAGGGCACTGGAAGCGGATCGGCGGGGATTTGCGGTCATTACAGAGACACCTGGTGTGGGATTGTTGTGAGTTATTGATACTTTTATGATCAGCAGTTGCATGTGATCAACAATATATTCAATTGATATGAAATAGTTTGAAATTCATTTTAATTTTTGGTGGTTTTGAAGTTTGGAAATCGTTCGGAATGAATCA